ATGACGTCATGCTCAGCATCTAGAGCTGGGGGAGGAGGGACGGAAGGGGGGGACATTTGTTGTGATGGCGTTTGTCTTCCCACGTAACCGTTACGCGTGATGGAGCCCTGCTTTCCTGGAGATGGCTGAACAGCTGCCTGCCGATGGGAAGTAGGGAATGAATTCCTTGTTTTGCTTTGCTTGCGTGTGCAGCTTTTGCTTTACCTATTAAACTGTCCTTAACCCACAAGGTCTCTCAGTTTCACCCTTCCGATTCTCTCCCCCATCCCACTGAGGGGGGAGTGAGCGAGCGGCTGCGTGGTGGTTAGTTGCTGGCTGGGGTTAAACCACGACAGGGGGGCAGCAGTCCCCTTTCCTATGCCCATGTGCAGACTGCATTGAAAGGCCTTTTTAAACTCAGTTGTTTCTAAACAAAATGCCTTTGTACTAAGTGGCTGGATAAAGATGTCAGGCTTTTGCCTCTAATGGTCTTAGAGTGAGAACGTGTAATTTATCTAGCGGTTTTTTCTCCATGTCCTGTCACCTACACACCCAGAGGATTACCAAATATCTTACCCACCTATTCCAGAAAAAAATGAGACAGAAAAGCACCCAATAATATATCTGACTGTATTTCAAAGTTGTTGATTGTAAACAAACTTTGTTGAAGAAATAAAATCACATGACAAGATATCAGAGTGATACTATAAATCCATTTTGTTATTGTTGCCACACTTCACATTTTTTGGAACTCAGAATTTAGCTCATGGTGTACAAAACTTGTAAAAATTTATTGCAAGCGTGCCTTTGTGTAGAACAAAACTGGTGTCACAAAAGTAGTTCCCTGTCCCATGCAGAAACACAGTTGTGTATCTCTTACCGGGAAGAGGTCACACACCTGCATTTCCTGAAAGACTTGGCTGTTACAAAATTGCTCTGAGAAGTTTTAATTTAAAAAAAAAAAAAAAAAAAAGAAAAAGAAAAAAAGCAATTGCAGTGTATGCTTTACCTCTGGAATTTACATTTTCAACAGAAATCTTTAGAATTACAAAGAATATGGAACTTTGCAACAGAACTGCAGTCGCTGATATTGTGAGCGCAGCCTGATGGAGTCGTCGTGAAAGCACTTGGCCAGCTAAGGCCCGTCTTTGCATTTGGTACTGTCACGGCATTTGATGGAATGTAAGTTGCACATATTGAAAATAAATGAAAATGAAACGTAGAGGGGGAGATTCCTTTTCCAGAATCCCCATTGTTCCTGTTTCTACAGTGGCGCTTCCTCAGACTGTCGCTCCCATGCTGTGTTGACATGCAGCAGTGCTTTGACTCCAAGGTCGATGACTACTGAACATGTATAGTGTAAGGAAAGGCATGGAGTGAGGCCAGCCATGTAGCTAAAGCAGGGCTTATGTTGCTAAAGCAGCTGTGCAGACTGGTTGTGTTAAACATCAGCCTTTTCTCTTCAATTCAAAGGCAGCAGGGGAGGGGGGTACACATGCTGGAAAGATGAGAGTTAGAAGGGATCACCTGGCTCCTCTCCCTCTGCGTGCCCAACCTCTGAACCTTCCTCTGCCTCCTCAAGCCTGCTGTTCCCCTTAAACTCCTCCTTGTATCAGCCTCATCTATACGGGATCAGATTAATCTCTGGCATAAATCTGAGTTTTGCTATCTTTAATCTCACCCCAGACCATGGAGTCAAGTTATTTTTAATTTCAGTACTGAAATGCCAGGCAAAGATTTGGCTTATAACTAGAAGGAAAAATCCAGGTTGCAACAGTAAATCCAAGAGATCTGCAATTTGTTTTTCATCAAATGAGTAACTCCGTTTCATAGAGAGGAGCGAATTGTTCAGCAGTCATGTTTTGCATACACCTTGACACAGATTAATTGGAAAACAAGACCACAATGTTACTTTGACACCAAGTGGGTTGGCGTTCTGGACAGATGAACCTAGTGTACTGGGCTTTGCTTTTTGGTTTGAAGAATTTTGATAACTAGTGAAAACAGAACAAAATGCTCTGTTAGAAACCTAGAGCATGCTGTAAATACTTGAAGAGTGAAAGCATGTGCCAGCTTCTTCATTTTAGAAGCAGAGCAGCCAGGGCTGGGAGCAAACTGTAGGAGCCTGGCATCTTCCCTTCCATAGTAAAACTTAATTTGGCTCCCTCCAGAGTCCCTGTCATGATCAGGTATGAGACTAGCTTAACTATGAAGTCTGTTTGTCCAAGGAGCTTCGATCCCAAATTGCACTCATCCCTCCCCTCTTTGTTTATCCGATCAGGTCCTGCACATCGTGACCCTGTAGGACAGCACTACGGTCCTTTCCCACTAGGTTCTTCATCCAGGTCCCCCACGCATTCAAGGGTTGTTGCCGTTACATCAAATGAGCACTTTTGCAGAGTGATGTTTTCGTGGATAAGATTTTTGCACTACACATCGTGTGGACCACCTTGACGTCTAATACAAGCAATTATTACTTCAGAAGAGTGATACAAAAGGAATTTACCACTTAAGGCCTTTTTGTGATACCTAACAGCTGTTCACCAGACCCATCACGAGTTAACGGGTTTACAAAAAACCACAAAAAACCCCTAGACTGTGTCAAAGGCCCCTCTTTGACAGCAATCCAGAGCTGAGGAATATTACAGCCGTTCCAATGGGAGCAGTGGGTGTGGTAATGCTGATACCTGTTTTGGGTCCATACGAACCTGACGGGGCAGCACTAATGGGGCAAAGCAGGCAACACCTTCACAGTGATTGCAATTAGTATAGGCTTCAGAAACAATACCCTGTTTCATCTGAGATTTGCAAAATAGCAGAAAGGATCAGCGAAGTAATACTATAAAAGTAAACTGAAAGGCCAACTCTGTGTTGTCACCTCTTCCAGACTGACCAAGAACCTGCAGGATGATTTGGATGTGCTCTAAATCCATGGAATGAGGGAAGCGAAGGAAAGCGTAGGGCAGGAAATTTCTCCAGGGCTAGATTTCTGAAGACACAGAGCCATCTCTCAAAAGAAGGGGAAGAGACCCTTTTCGTACAAAGCACAGATATGCTCAACTGCTCCCCCCCCCAGTGAGATGATGATATTACGGGTGCTTTTCCAGTTCCAGTTCATAATGCTTCTGGAAACAAAGGTAGGTTTGGGAAGTACTGTTACAAGAAGGAATATATATCAAGTAGCACTGGTGGTAGGCTTGCATTTGAGCAGATGATGACGTGATCTGCCTGAGCAAAATACCCTAGTTAATGACAGGCCGAATGTATCCATGTTTTGAGCTTAGAGTTCCTTGCCTTTGTGAAACGTTGCTAACAGTCCTTTGACACTTGAATGTTTTTCTCAACCAGACTGAGATGAGCTCTCGTTTTACAAACAACTAATCTTACCTTAGTCCTAGCAACAAGTGCCATGGCAAACTTCCCAACAGAGATGGATGGAAGACTTCATATTCCATCTAATCTCAGTGACTTTTCTCAAGTCAGTCTTAGTAATTATTTGTCTGAATTTCACATTGATTACTGGACTATAGCAGAGCTTCAGATTCTCCATTTATCTCCTCTAAGCTCCTCTAGGCAGGTTGGGCTGCTACGTTTTATCCAGTTTTCTCTTACCTGCAGCGCAACTTGGTTTTGACTCATACCGGCCTATATGGAGTAAAGAATCTGTGCTGACAAAGTCCCACAGCCCTTACTTCAGGGTGGGACGATGTTTGGCATGCTTTCATTTCTAGTTTGGAAAAGTGCATTTGAACAAGAACGAAGTCACTAAAAATGCAGAACTTGGACTTAATCAGCAGGAGTGCAAACTCTACTTCACAGTTTCATCACCCCCTTACCTGTGCTGTGCCTCAGTGTCTGATTAGGGAAGGGGAAGCTCCTATTTGAGGAGCTAATGATGCCTCATGAGTGCTGAGGTGGTTAAAGCACTTTGCAATTGTTGCAAGGAAAGCGGCACAGATGTGCAGAATTATCAGTGCAGCGTAATTCCCCACTCATCACTAAATCAGCTCCAGGACTAGGGGGACTAAGATATGTAAGACTGAGATACTGGCGGCTTCTTTCACTACTCACCAGCTCAAGATGGACTACTAAATAAATGTTGGAAGTTAAAAAACTCTTCAGCCAAAAAAAAAAAGCCACATAAATATAGCTGAAGCCAAAGAATGGGAATGCTGTTTTGAGTTGCTGTCCTTAATGTCAGTCTGGAAACAGCTAAATTCATTTTTCTCTAGGAAGTGTCTGAAGAAAACTTAGTTGTTCCCATTAGGGACACTGAAACATCTATAAATGGGGATTCTTGGACTACCTTGTAAATGCAGAAGGGCTGGGGCTAGAGAATAGGAATGGAACACAGAGATGAGATTTCTTTAAATTGTGCCCTAGTGTCAAGTGCACAAATGGGCCGAAGTAAAAAGTAGCAGAGTTTCTGCAAGCCCTTGAAATATTTTTCAACTGAGACAACAGCAGTGGAAACCATTTCACAGTGGCTTCTAAGCTCTAGTGAGTGTTTTATTACACGCTGGGAAAAGAAATGTTTTCCAAGAATGGATCGTGGCAGGACCGACATTTCTTGAAAGAAGCAGCGTGCATAGAAGGTGGTCAGTATGTCTTGCTGATGGTCTCAGTTCTTTGAAACAAAAGTTTGCATACCATAAATAAGTCGTTTTCAGAAGTATGTGTGAATGAAAATTCAATTCAGCAGGAGAACCATAAATAAGTCGTTTCCAGAAGTATGTGTAATGAAAATTCAACTCAGCAGGAGAGAAATGAGCCTACCTGCTCCCTTGTCTACTTTTCCTGGAAAAAATTTAGAGATCTGGTTGGCATTTCCACCGCATTTTAACTACTGCTGAGCTTTAAGACCTCTTACCCAGATTGTCTCAAGGCTACGACCCCCCCCCCCCCCCCCCCCACCC